ATTTTTTCGACTTCGCGTTACATACACTGTGTAATATATTTTGTTTCATGTCCCACCAATCCTTTCTCTCGTCGCGCAAAATCACGTCCTCTTTTTTCCCAAATTCCCCTTTTTCTGGGATTATCGCGATTAATTAATTACTCGCGAACGTGCGAGATGCAATAATCTCGACGCATCATTTAGCAAACTCGATGAAAGTCAGAAATAAACAAGCGCGCGTGCATCCTGTCCGTCGCGCGGGACAAACGGGGATTAAAAATGAATTACCCTCGTGTTATCGTTCCTCGTACAGCCACGAAAGACTATGTGCGCACATATATATGCAAAAATCTTTTATATATATATATGTGTGTGTGTGTGTGTGTGTGTGTGTGTGCAAACAAAATTACTTATTATTTTACAAGTATAGGCACGCAAAATTTAAATTTGGATGTGGAAAATGTGTGTGTAAACAAAATCACTTATTATTTTACAAGTATAGGCACGCAAAATTTAAATTTGGATGTGGAAAATGTGTGTGTAAACAAAATCACTTATTATTTTACAAGTATAGGCACGCAAAATTTAAATTTGGAGTTATTTGAATTCTTCAGAATGACCACGTTCAAAAGAGGATTTTTGAGAATCAAAGATTTAATTAGAAACTTGAAAATTTATGTAATTATTTGTAAAATGATGAAGAGCATTTTTATTTTTTTTAAATTTTTTACAAGTATGCCAATTGTGTTTAACTGTGGTAAACATTCTGTATATCATGTTTTTTGAAATTTTAAAATAACACGGAAATTGCTTTTTCAGTATAAATAAATGCAAAAATTTCTCCGAATTGCCATTGCTTAGCTCTGAAATTAATCCTGCGTATGTGCGTATGTTATAATTTTGTATAACTGCATAATCATCAAGCAGAAATATTTAAGAAATTATAAAATAAATACTTACTTTCTCCACAAAAACAATTCCTTGGATTTAATAGTATTACACTCTTTGCTATTTCGAATGTGCTTTTGCTCGATACTGCTTCTGAACACTATGATCGACCACAGTCGAATGACAGCCTTCTAGAAATATTTGCAGCCGAGAAGACTGCAGGCCGCTCTTATCTTCTGTATATGATATATAAAACCCTTTCTAGACCCTTCTCTGAATCGTATATACAAATACGTCCAGTAAAGAATACGCTGTAGCGTCTCTAACTGTCAGTATAGAAATTAACGAATTTATTCTGCTCAGAGAAAAAATTACTTTTTTTACGGACAAAAAAATACTTTGGAAAATTTGTAACAATAATTCTTAAAAAATTCTTTGCTTCTTTTATTTTGGATATAATTCATAAATTTACATGGCTTTTTTAAAGTGCACGATTTATGATTGATTATAATAATACAGTAATTTTCAAAAATTGTAAAATATAAAATTTTCAAATTAGTGTATAATTAATATACTTCCGAGAAAAAAAGTACAACTTTAAACGACTTTTTATTTATGAAAAAAGATAGTGAAAAAGAAATAGTTTTTGTATCTAAATTTGTTTTTTTAACCGCTTTGTTTTTCTTAGAAAAAATGTTTTACGTAGAAATTTTTTCACAGATTTTAATCAATGATGTGTATATACAACTCCGGTGAATTATTTAATTACATATACATGCTATACATTATGTATATTCTACGTATCCTATTAATCCTTTAACTTTGATGTGGAGAAATTTTTAATACATTTATTTTAAAGTATTTGGAAAAAACTTAATTTTTTCAATCAGGATGTATGTAATTCTATTCCGTGCTTCTATTCTATAAAATCTAAATAAATATCATGTTTTATTCTCAGTAATTTAGTAAACTGTTATGTATAAATAACTATGAGCTATTTACTTATTAAAGAATACTGGAAAAATGTCTTAAATATAAAATATAATATATTACACAATGTGCTATAGAGATGTGCAAATAGTTTAGAATTCGAATCGAATCGAATCACAGTGGATTTGATTCGAGTTTGTTTTCGAATCTGTAAGATTCAAAATCGAATAGTTTGAGAATTCGAATCAACAATGATTCGATTTAGAATCGCCTATTTTATTTGCTTCATTTATATCTTCTGCGCGACCAATTATTCTTGTCTAATAAATAAGTATTTTTAATGTATGTAATGTATATCCATATAGATTAATATAGAAAATTAATATAGAAAATTTTCGAATGCATTCTAACTATTCGTGTATACACGTATTATTAATTACATATTTTCTAGTTCAAAATGTCACATAAGATCATGATCCTTTGTAACAAGATATAAATAAAAAATAGGTCTGCAGTTTGTTTAAATCATTGCGTAAAGTAATGTAATTCATAAAATTTTAATATTTATTACATTTAAATTAACATGTAATGTAAATCTGGGAAAATCTGATTCAGATTTGATTCGTATTCGAATTAAAGAGATTCGATTTCGAATCATGTTATAAAAAATTGGATTCGATTCGATTTGACCATAAATGCTTGATTCGCACACCTCTAATGTGCTAGCACATATATTTTTTTTTAAATAGATAACATTATAAGAAATCGTTAATTTTATTTTACAAACACACACGTATATTATTAATCTATCTAATAGTGGGCAAAACCATATGTAAATGGAAACGATAAGACATCGTTTTGCACATATAACAATTTTCTTTCTTAGATAAAAGACGAAATTTAAATCCAATATAAATTTATGTAAAAATTATGTGTAATCAAATCAGTATTAGTATGATGTATAATATATCATAAAAAACACTTTTATTATGCAACTCAACAATTTAAGTTATCGATTGAGCCTACTTAGAAGTTCAGTTCGGCCGACGTTGAAATCCGAAGATTTCGGGTGGTTGCAACTCGCCGGCTCGTGCAAATAAGACCCGGTCCGTCTCGTGGGTACCCTGTAGCGTCGAAACACGATCGTATCTTTTGATTTGATAATAAACAGTATGATTATTTTAAAAATCTTTTAATGAAAACAAATTCTATGACTGATTATAAAACGAAAGCAAAATATGACGTGTATACATGTTATTGAATGCTCGACTTATATATAAAAGTTATTTATATAATATATATCTAAATTATTTGTACACACACACACACACACACACACATACATATTAATATTAATATATTATCTGAAATGAATATTTAATATTTATTTGTAGTATTACAAAATGACACCTACTCGAGAAAGACCACATTGAGTGAAGAAGCTATAAAGAATGTCGTCGTCAACCATAAAGAAAAAAAATATTTTTTATATATCAACCAATGAAAATAAAATTGTATCTAAGTTTGATGAAATATAGACAACTATATCAAAACAATTAAATTATCAGATACAACCAACTGCATTATATATATTCTCGTTGTAAATAATAGATATGTTATAAGAAACATATTATCTGATAAATCAGTCACACA